AAGAGGGAAGCGGGGGAGAGGAGTGTCCTGGCCGCCCAGCAGAGGAGGAGGAGGAGGAGGAGGAGGAGGAGGAGGAACATCACGTCGCCCCCCTCCCGAAGCAGCCCGCATTGGGCTCGGGGGCGCCGGGCGAAACAGCCCGGGCTGGACGCCCTGCGTGGCGGCGGGGGCGGGCCTCGGGCAAGGGCGGAGAGGCGGGCCTCCGGAGGGGCCGCCAGGGAGGCCGACAGAAGCATCGACGACGACGACGACGACGACGAGGAAGATCGAGGGAGGGTCGGGGGAGCATAGAAAGGAACGGAGAACGCGAGGAGCACCGAGGGAGGGTCGAGGGAGCATCGAGAGGAATGAAGGAGCGAGGGGTCGAAAGAGACGAGGGAGGTCGAGAGGTCGGAGAGGAACGAGGGATCGAGGGATGCGAGGAAGATCGAGGGATCGAGGGAACGGAGGATCGACGGAACGGAAGCATCGAAGGATCGAGAGAACGGGGGTCCTCTGTTGCCCCCCCTCGACTGCAGCCTCCAGAGGCCGCGTGCCGTGTTCGCCCTCCCTGGGCCATCAGAAACGGATCCTGGGCGAGAGACTTGGAAACGGCCGGGTGGCCTGCGCTAAATGGGCCCGCGAAAATCAGCCCATAGGACGGGGGGGTCGAGGGGAACCCCGCACAAATCCTAATCCCGGACGCCCCCCCGGAGCCGAAACTGTCAAGTTTTTCGAGCAGCGTCCAACCGTGGCGACGATGGGGTCTCTTTCTCCCTCCTCCCTCCTGGCCAGAACCAATGGCCTAGGCTCGGGAATCTACTGACCAGGGTCAATCCAAACCCAGGTCAGTCGGGCGTTGCAGGATCCTGCAAATTCCTGCAGGATCCTGCAGCATCCTTCGTCGCTGTATGCCGTGTCAGTATACCCCTAGCTCTGCAGGAGCATGCAAGATCTGGCGCTCTGGCTGACCCCCGTTTGAACAAATCCCCGTCTCAAGGCTCCGGGTTTCTCCCTCCTTTCTGCCAGCCAGAACCAAGTGCCTGGGCCATCACAGCCCTCCAGCCGGCTTCAACGAGAGACTGCCCGCAAAGAAGGGGCCGATACCTCCTGGGGCTCGCGGCCCAAACAAAAAGAGTCCTCGGATCTCTGGGATCGAGGATCCAGGGATCGATTACCAAAAGATCACAGACATCCGAGGCATTGCTAGAGCAATCATCTTAGCGCTTCGCGCTCCGCGAAACGCGACTATCTTCGCGTTTTCGCGACGACCCCCTGGAACCGGATAAGGGACTCGCGCTTCGCTCTGAAATCGCCCAGACTGCGATTCGAAAATAACTTGACACCTTCGTGGTGGCCCTGGCTTTGTCTCTTTCAGAACGGGATCCCCGATCTCCCGAACCCCTTCTCTCATCCTGTTCACAACGATTCATTTTTGACAGCCCTGGAGCCTGGCAATGGGCCCCAGAAGCCGAAAACTGGGAAAAGCCTTTGTTGTCTCGTTTCTCTCTCAACACGTTGGAGGTATGGGATCGAAGATCGAGAATCGCAGATCGAGATCGGGGGATCAAGGATCGAGAAACCGAGAGATCCAGGGACGAGGATCGAGAAGCCGAAAGATCGAGGATCGGGAAGCGGGAGAATCGAGGAATCGAGGAGCCGAAGGATCGAGGATCGAGGAACCGCACGATCGAGAATCCGAAGACCGAACAACCGGAGGATCCAGGGACCTGGGTCTGCTGCACGGCATCCGGGGATCGAGGGCGAAGTGATTCAAGTGATCAGAAATCTGCGGATGGATCGAGGGGCCGAGGGATTGGGTACTTATTTCCTATAACATCGAAGGATCTAGGATTGAGAGATCGAGGGATCGAGGGGCCGAGGAGATTCCTTCGGATAGGACGTCGAAGAGAACGAAGGATCGGAGATCGAACGACTGCTGAACTTTTCAAAGGCCCCAGGGCCCGACGGCGACTTCCAGGTGTCGAAAATCCCACCAGCCTTTGGGGCGCGAGTGTCTCGACGACGTGCCTTCTCTTTCAACCACCCTTCTGCCCCTGAAGCGGATTACCACCAGTTGACTATTAATAAACTACCCCTCCCCTACTGCACCTGCCCCTAACCAGGGCCCGACTCCATCACCCCATATCAGAACCATACAAAATGCACATTGCGGGAAACATCTGGTCCGCGGAAGGCATCAGACTACCTTGTGTGTGTGCGCGTAGGCCAACCATCCCTGTGAACAACTAATGCGAGGCGCACGTGCGCACGTCGACTGACCTTCCAAGGACGTCCACAAGAGGCAAATCAATGGTTCACAAACCCTTCTTACATATGATATGTTGTGCCGTCGTGCCTTTTTGGTTCAGCGGGCTGAAGAAGCCCTCTGTTGTTGGTTGTGCATGTCGTTAGCTGGCGTTTTGTTGAAAACGTTGTTTTGCCATTTCAGAAAGTAGTTTGGTCTGCGCACGATCCGTGGTACCCTTATCGAAACAGTGGGGGGTTCGGTCTACGCGTGAGGGTTGATGTGGGGTTTGGGCCCGTATTTTAGTGTGACGATGCAGTCGCGACGCTTTTGTACCTTTGCGGCCGGTGCCGCCGACATCCAAGGGGAACGGCGAAAACGACGACGTCGGCGACGATGCCCGCGAACCCTCCTGACGGCCCTTGGGGGCTTGTTGGCCTTGGGGCCCCCCTTGGGCCCCCCCCTTGGGACCGCCCCAAGCGAATCCGTCCCGCGACCCGCCCCCCCTTCCGGCGGGGAAGTGTGATCAAAAGGCCCCCATTCGGCTCGATTGGTGTCCCTCTTTGCGGCTCTGTGGTTTTTTTTTTTGTGCCGTTTTGGTGGGAGGGGGGGGGGGCGGGTCACGACCCCTTGGGACCCTCGGGGGGGTGCGGGCCAACCTCCCGCAGGACCCCCCCTCCATGGCGCGAGCAATCGCTCGCTTGGATGGATCACGTGAGGGGGTCTCTTGGGTCAATTGGAGCGCCTTGTGGCGGGTTTGGGGCCCTCTTGGGCCTCTCTAGGGCTGGGGCTCTCTAGGGCAATCTTGGATTCATCTTCGGGCTTCATCAGCCCGCTGAACCAAAAAGGCACGACGGCACAACATATCATATGTAAGAAGGGTTTGTGAACCATTGATTTGCCTCTTGTGGACGTCCTTGGAAGGTCAGTCGACGTGCGCACGTGCGCCTCGCATTAGTTGTTCACAGGGATGGTTGGCCTACGCGCACACACACACAAGGTAGTCTGATGCCTTCCGCGGACCAGATGTTTCCCGCAATGTGCATTTTGTATGGTTCTGATATGGGGTGATGGAGTCGGGCCCTGGTTAGGGGCAGGTGCAGTAGGGAAGGGGTAGTTTATTAATAGTCAACTGGTGGTAATCCGCTTCAGGGGCAGAAGGGTGGTTGAAAGAGAAGGCACGTCGTCGAGACACTCGCGCCCCAAAGGCTGGTGGGATTTTCGACACCTGGAAGTCGCCGTCGGGCCCTGGGGCCTTTGAAAAGTTCAGCAGTCGTTCGATATCCGATCCTTCGTTCTCTTCGACGTCCTATCCGAAGGAATCTCCTCGGCCCCTCGATCCCTCGATCTCTCAATCCTAGATCCTTCGATGTTATAGGAAATAAGTACCCAATCCCTCGGCCCCTCGATCCATCCGCAGATTTCTGATCACTTGAATCACTTCGCCCTCGATCGTCACACTAAAATACGGGCCCAAACCCCACAACAAGCCTCACGCGTAGACCGAACCCCCCACTGTTTCGATAAGGGTACCACGGATCGTGCGCAGACCAAACTACTTTCTGAAATGGCAATACAACGTTTTCAACAAAATGCCAGCTAACGACATGCACAACCAACAACAGAGGATGTGCAACCGATGTGGAACAATGTACGAAAATCCATACACGTGGTGTCTTTCATGTTGTGCAACCTATTTGGTGCATTCTATGTGGTGCACATTCACCTTACCAAACTTGAGGTTGTCGATTCCATTGCTCGCGCAACCATCCAACCCACCCACCCGCAGCTTGGTTTGCAAAACCCATGCGGAAGCGATCGTGAAGAATGCTCGATGTTGGCTGGTGCATTTCTGCGGCCGCACTGCCCCGCGCATGCTCGCGCGTGCAGCGGCCAGCTAGTTGGGCGCGACCGACGCGAACGCGGTGGCGCTGACCGCTCGGCACATCCCAGCGGGCACTTCAGTGCGAGTCGGCGACTTGGGCGGGCGCGGAATACTGGCACTGTCGACAACAGAAGACACGATGATGATAAAAGCGATGCTGGCGACGATGCTGAAAGCGACGACGGGGCCGCCAGTGACGGCGCCGATGCGGATAACGCCGACGACGATCACGGCGTCTTCGCCTCGGTGCTGAAAGTTTTGGAAGGAGTTCGACATGCGTGCGCGGCAAACGCGCGAGAGTGGCCCGCATGTATTATTCGACGCGCATCGTGCCACGATTTCGGCACGCGCGCGTAGCAGCACGCTTATGAAAAAATTGTGTGAAAGTAATGGTGGAAGACCAATGGTTTCCTGAAAATATCAGCAAAAACGCGCGCGCAAGTTTGGTGTTTGAATAACCGCGTTGCGAAACCCTGTGATATTGCATGGTATAATTTGACACTCGATTTGGGAAACCTTACGGAAACCGGCGATGTTTGAAAGATTCTGGCATGCGCGCGCGACGACGCGCGCGCGTGCATTCCGTACCGTTTTTGTTCCACAATGTTTCTCAAAATTGTTGATAAACGAGTGCGCGCGCATGACAGTTGTTGCAAACGATGCCGAGGGGGGTGATACCGGATTAGCTGGGATGGTACAAAATATCGATTAAAACGGACGATGGGCATAATTATTGTCCTCACTGTTTTGTGACTGTTAAGTTTAATTTCGCTGCTGTTTAGTTTTGTCTTCACGTTTGCCACTTGTCTTCTCTTTGGTCGCTTGTCTTCATCTTCGCGCGTTTTCATCATCGCACAGATTGTCCTCGTGTGTTTGGTTCCATACACCCTATGGGCGAGCGTCTTCCGCGACGACCCGTCGCTGGGCCCGGGCACGGACGAATGCACCACCCAGAGGCCCAGCCGCTTGATGCGCTCTGGGTCGTTGAAGTCCAGCTTTGACCTGTCCAGCTCTGCCTCGCCTGGCTTCTGGCGCCGGCGGCAGCAACGCGCGAGGCAAGCGAAGATAACGCCAAGCCCCCAGGCGGCCCAGCTGCAGGTCGCGAAAGAGGTCCGCAGGCCGAGGGTGACGAGCACCAGGACCCCGGTCATCAGCATGAGAACGCCGCCCAAGGCGACGACGGGCCAGGCGGCGCCGAAGAGGGAGACGCCAGCCTGGTCCACGCCGTAGAGGATCCACCCGCCGTCGGTCTTGAGCCAGCCCTTTTTCTCACGGGTGGAAAAGACCTGGCGCAAGCTGCTTAGAAACCGGAAGGCACATCCCCCCATCCCCTCGAAGCTCCAAGAGGCGGTGTTCCCGAGGGTCTTCCAAATCAAGGCGTCAAAGCCCTAACCTCCTTTATCCAAGAAACATCTGGATCGTCGGGGTCTCTGTGGGCCTCCGCCTTTGCCCCCCCAGCCGGCGGCTCACCTGGCGGCACGCGATGCGCGCCCGCGGGAGCTCTGCCGCGGCTATCGTGGGGGGTGGCCACGCCAAGGGCCAGTGATCCGCCGTCATCCTCCTCCCAGTCCCCGTCCTCATAGCGCCACGCGCAACACGTCTGGTATAGCGCGGTGAACTCGAGCTGCAGGACCTCATCCTTCACCTCGGCGGTGTCGTTGGGCCCGCGGCGCCGGGGCCCAATGGTGGTGGACCAACTCCAGGCCAGCCCACTGGGCGCGAACGAGGCAAGCACCGCCACGCCCAGCGCGTTGGCGCCGCCGGAGCCGACGGGCTTTGCGAGCACCGTCAGCCAGCCAGCGGCGGTCGGCGCCCAGCGGCTGGCGTTAGCCAGCGCCGCCAGACGCCAAGCTTTCGCCACACCGCCCAGCGGGCGCCTCCGCGTGCGGCGCGACGCCATGGCCGCGAGCGCGTCTTCTGGGCTCTGGGAAGGTCCCGGGGCCCCGGCCTTGGGCCACTGAGACCGACCCCCAGCTTGACCCCAAAAAGGCTTGAGCCACGGTCACTGGAGGGGAGATGGCGGGATAGGGCAAGCAGAACAAACGCAGAGACAAGAAGAGGAAACAGCCAGCGCCAGTCCTGGGAGCGGGGAGGCCCATACGTTTTACCAAACATCCCATCCAACGACTGCGACTGCGACGAGGGCGGCTATGACGACTGGCGACACGTTCCCAGGGGCCACCGGCCACCTTTTCCATCCTGAATCGCCCTTGGACGGTCCCAGGACCCGGCGAGGGCCTCCAGAGGCCGAACTCCATGGCAAAAAACAACTCGGCGCCGTCGTCGCCGTCGTCGACGCCGCTGTCGTCGCCGCCGTCGCGGTCGTCGTCGCCGCAGCCGCCGCCGCCGCCGCCGCCGTCGTCGTCGACGTCGCGCGCGATCACGGCGCCGAGGCGGCCGCGCGGCGGCGACCGGCGGCGGGTAGGCCGCCCGCGCGGGCGCACCGTCCTGCTGTAGGGCGGCCTCTCCCGAGGGGCTCGCAGAGGGCGCCGCCGTCGACCGCCACGGGCCGCCGTACGACGCAGGATGGTGCGAGGCAAGGACGTTGAGGATAGCTGCGAAACATCTTTCCACGAGGAAGCCCCTCCTCCTCCTCCTCCTCCTCCTCCTCCTCCTCCTCCCTCCCCCTCCTCCTCCTCCTCCTCCTCATCCTCCTCCCTGACGGCGACGCCGAAGAGCGAGGATCGAGGTTGTTTGACTTGCTTGGCCCCTTCTTGGGGGCCTCTTCAAGCCACCAGGGAGGCCTCTGGGCGTCTCTCCTGGGGGGCGCCCCTGGGGGGGTGGCTCTGGAGGCGCGGAACACAGGAGGGGGAAGGTCAGACGCCTCGGGCGAGATGGAAATTCAAAGAACAAGAACCTCAAGCATGAGAGGTGGCGGCCTGTCCCCGGACCCGTCACAGGGCGCGCCCCGGTCAGAACTCCGAGGAGAGCCCGGCCGTGAGGCCAGGAAGCGCCCGGGAAGCTCGAGGCCCGGCGAGAGCGCCCGGTGTGGAACGAGCTGCGACGCCTAAGTCGCATGAGGGGCAGCGATAGGGGGGGACTCAAAGGGGAAAGCTGGCTCAGGGGGGGGGGGAACATCGAGCTGGAATCGGCGATAAAGAGCCGATAGATCGGCGGTACGATCATCGTTTTGATTTGGGAAGGGGCGTTTTTGGGCCACGGCGAGCCTCGGCCACGCCTAGGTTCCTCGATCTTGACCTGAGGATCGGCCTGAAAAAGCCAGAGCCCCTCCTGGGACCGGCGTCTTGACTGTGGGCCACCGGGCAGCGAAAGCGCACTGTCCTGGGCGGGCCGCGGGCTGTCGGGCCCCTGTACCCGCGATCAGTGGACGATCGGGGGTCGAGGCGTGCCCCCTGAGCCTATCCCCCCCTTCACGTTGCCCCTCACTGACGGGCCTCGGGGGACGTCACCTGACCACCTCACCGATCCTCGTCCGGCCCATCCTGGGCCCAGGGTCGGTCGGCGTGCACGGGCACAGTCGGACCCAGGCCAGAAGAGCAGCCTTCAAGAGCATGAGACCCCCCAGCGGCCAAAAGGAAGAGCTCTCGAGGGTACCCCTCCCCCAGGATGCACAAGCACATCCCACAAGCACGAAGAACACCATAGGGTGCCCTCCCCGAGCCGGCCTCGACCTGATGATCCTCGGTCCGACCGCAGACGCCTTCCGGGCTTGGCCAGGGATGGGCACGTGCAGCGACTCGGGGCCCGGGACGGGCACGGCCAGGATCGGTGAGGCACAGTCGCCCCGACGCCCCCCGGCGGCTGCGCAGGTCGGCGGACGCCTGTGGGCCTCCCTGCGCCTCTGTACCTCCACGGGGGTCGGGGCGAACGACGGGGGGGGGAGACAGCAGAGCGGGGGATCATCAGTGACAGCGAGTCGGCCCACGCAGCTGGTCCTCCACGGAGCCCCCCGGCGCCACCGGTGCCGAAACACGTGCGTGGCGGCGGGGCCGAAACCAGCAGAAAGCAGCAGGAGCCGCACCAACCTCTCCCAATCCCCCCCCCCTTTCGTGGGGGGCTCAAAAGCGGTGACAGACAGTGCGGTGACGTCGGAGCCCCCACCGACCTCCCGCACGGTCCGTCACCGCACGGTCTTGGGACCCCGGAGGCCCCAGGCGCCAGAGACCTCCTCGGTGACTTGACACACGGTGTGGTCACCGCGCTGTTTGGGGGCCCCTGGATGTCGACGCGCCCAGGGCTGCCAGGCAACCCGGAGGACGGCAGCCCCGTCGCAGTCGTCGCCGCCGCCGCCGCCGTCGTCGTCGTCATCGTCGTCGCAGTCGTCGTCGTCACCGTCGTCAGTCGCGGTTGTAGTCGCCATCGCCGTCGCAGTCGCAGCCGTGGTCGATCGCCGACGCCGTCGATCGTCGTCGCGGTCGCCGCCCGCCGCCGTCGTCGTCGTCGTCGTCGTCGTCGTCGTCGTCGTCGTCGTCGTCGTCGTCGTCGTCGTCGTCGTCGTCGTCGTCGTCCGTCGTCCGTCGTCGTCGTCGTCGTCGTCGTCGTCGTCGTCGTCGTCGTCGTCGTCGTCGTCGTCGTCGTCGTCGTCGTCGTCGTCGCAGTCGTCGTCGTCGTCGTCGTCGTCACCGTCGCCGTCGCCGTCGTCGTCGTCGTCGTCGTCGTCGTCGTCGTCGTCGTCACCGTCGCCGTCGTCGCCGTCATCCGCCGCCTCGCCCAGTGCGGTCTGGCCGCCCGAGGGCGCGCCCGGCCAGCCCGCCAGGTAGCTGCCCTGCGCGCCTGTGCCCTGCTGGGCCTGGCAGGGGGGCCACACCAACTTGGCGAGCGCCGCCGCCGCCGCCGACAACGACGACCACGTCGGGAAGAAAGACACGGCGTCGGGGGCATGGGGTCGGGGCCCTCCGTCCTCTTCCAATCCCCCCACCTCCTCCTCCTCCTCCTCCTCCTCCTCCTCCTCCTCCTCCTCCTCCCCCTCCTCCTCCTCCTCCTCCTCATCCTCCTCCCTGACGGCGACGCCGAAGAGCGAGGATCGAGGTTGTTTGACTTGCTTGGCCCCTTCTTGGGGGCCTCTTCAAGCCACCAGGGAGGCCTCTGGGCGTCTCTCCTGGGGGGCGCCCCTGGGGGGGTGGCTCTGGAGGCGCGGAACACAGGAGGGGGAAGGTCAGACGCCTCGGGCGAGATGGAAATTCAAAGAACAAGAACCTCAAGCATGAGAGGTGGCGGCCTGTCCCCGGACCCGTCACAGGGCGCGCCCCGGTCAGAACTCCGAGGAGAGCCCGGCCGTGAGGCCAGGAAGCGCCCGGGAAGCTCGAGGCCCGGCGAGAGCGCCCGGTGTGGAACGAGCTGCGACGCCTAAGTCGCATGAGGGGCAGCGATAGGGGGGGACTCAAAGGGGAAAGCTGGCTCAGGGGGGGGGGGAACATCGAGCTGGAATCGGCGATAAAGAGCCGATAGATCGGCGGTACGATCATCGTTTTGATTTGGGAAGGGGCGTTTTTGGGCCACGGCGAGCCTCGGCCACGCCTAGGTTCCTCGATCTTGACCTGAGGATCGGCCCGAAAAAGCCAGAGCCCCTCCTGGGACCGGCGTCTTGACTGTGGGCCACCGGGCAGCGAAAGCGCACTGTCCTGGGCGGGCCGCGGGCTGTCGGGCCCCTGTACCCGCGATCAGTGGACGATCGGGGGTCGAGGCGTGCCCCCTGAGCCTATCCCCCCCTTCACGTTGCCCCTCACTGACGGGCCTCGGGGGACGTCACCTGACCACCTCACCGATCCTCGTCCGGCCCATCCTGGGCCCAGGGTCGGTCGGCGTGCACGGGCACAGTCGGACCCAGGCCAGAAGAGCAGCCTTCAAGAGCATGAGACCCCCCAGCGGCCAAAAGGAAGAGCTCTCGAGGGTACCCCTCCCCCAGGATGCACAAGCACATCCCACAAGCACGAAGAACACCATAGGGTGCCCTCCCCGAGCCGGCCTCGACCTGATGATCCTCGGTCCGACCGCAGACGCCTTCCGGGCTTGGCCAGGGATGGGCACGTGCAGCGACTCGGGGCCCGGGACGGGCACGGCCAGGATCGGTGAGGCACAGTCGCCCCGACGCCCCCCGGCGGCTGCGCAGGTCGGCGGACGCCTGTGGGCCTCCCTGCGCCTCTGTACCTCCACGGGGGTCGGGGCGAACGACGGGGGGGGGAGACAGCAGAGCGGGGGATCATCAGTGACAGCGAGTCGGCCCACGCAGCTGGTCCTCCACGGAGCCCCCCGGCGCCACCGGTGCCGAAACACGTGCGTGGCGGCGGGGCCGAAACCAGCAGAAAGCAGCAGGAGCCGCACCAACCTCTCCCAATCCCCCCCCCCTTTCGTGGGGGGCTCAAAAGCGGTGACAGACAGTGCGGTGACGTCGGAGCCCCCACCGACCTCCCGCACGGTCCGTCACCGCACGGTCTTGGGACCCCGGAGGCCCCAGGCGCCAGAGACCTCCTCGGTGACTTGACACACGGTGTGGTCACCTCACTGTTTGGGGGCCCCTGGATGTCGACGCGCCCAGGGCTGCCAGGCAACCCGGAGGACGGCAGCCCCGTCGCAGTCGTCGCCGCCGCCGCCGCCGCGGCCGTCGTCATCGTCGTCGCAGTCGTCGTCGTCACCGTCGTCAGTCGCGGTTGTAGTCGCCATCGCCGTCGCAGTCGCAGCCGTGGTCGATCGCCGACGCCGTCGATCGTCGTCGCGGTCGCCGCCCGCCGTCGTCGTCGTCGTCGTCGTCGTCGTCGTCGTCGTCGTCGTCGTCGTCGTCGTCGTCGTCGTCGTCCGTCGTCCGTCGTCGTCGTCGTCGTCGTCGTCGTCGTCGTCGTCGTCGTCGTCGTCGTCGTCCGTCGTCGTCGTCGTCGTCGTCGTCGTCGTCGTCGTCGTCGTCGTCGTCGTCGTCGTCGTCGTCGTCGTCGTCGTCGTCGTCGTCGTCGTCGTCGTCGTCGTCGTCGTCGTCGTCGTCGTCGTCGTCGTCGTCGTCGTCGTCGTCATCCGCCGCCTCGCCCAGTGCGGTCTGGCCGCCCGAGGGCGCGCCCGGCCAGCCCGCCAGGTAGCTGCCCTGCGCGCCTGTGCCCTGCTGGGCCTGGCAGGGGAGGCCACACCAACAGCGCCGCCGCCGCCGCCGACAACGACGACCACGTCGGGAAGAAAGACACGGCGTCGGGGGCATGGGGTCGGGGCCCTCCGTCCTCTTCCAATCCCCCCACCTCCTCCTCCTCCTCCTCCTCCTCCTCCTCCTCCTCCTCCTCCTCCTCCTCCTCCTCCTCCTCCTCCCCCTCCTCCTCCTCCTCCTCCTCCTCATCCTCCTCCCTGACGGCGACGCCGAAGAGCGAGGATCGAGGTTGTTTGACTTGCTTGGCCCCTTCTTGGGGGCCTCTTCAAGCCACCAGGGAGGCCTCTGGGCGTCTCTCCTGGGGGGCGCCCCTGGGGGGGTGGCTCTGGAGGCGCGGAACACAGGAGGGGGAAGGTCAGACGCCTCGGGCGAGATGGAAATTCAAAGAACAAGAACCTCAAGCATGAGAGGTGGCGGCCTGTCCCCGGACCCGTCACCGGGCGCGCCCCGGTCAGAACTCCGAGGAGAGCCCGGCCGTGAGGCCAGGAAGCGCCCGGGAAGCTCGAGGCCCGGCGAGAGCGCCCGGTGTGGAACGAGCTGCGACGCCTAAGTCGCATGAGGGGCAGCGATAGGGGGGGACTCAAAGGGGAAAGCTGGCTCAACATCGAGCTGGAATCGGCGATAAAGAGCCGATAGATCGGCGATACGATCATCGTTTCAACATGGGGCAAGACGAAGAAGGAACGAAGGGGCTTCTCTGGCCACGGCGAGCCTCGGGCCCCGCTGACCGATTGACCCCCCGTATGGGGAAGTATGGCGTTCCCCTCGGGCTTCGAGGGGTATATCCCCAACTGGGGTTGTAAAATGGTGGGGCTCGGGAGGGGGCTGGGGACAGGAGTCGTTGAAGCGATACTCAGCAGTGCGGCAGGCGGACGAGGCGCTCCCGCCCACCGCCCCCCCACCGCCCCCCGCTCGCCGACCGCGGGCCTCTGCGGCGGCGCCGGCCGCAGGCTGGGCGAGGCCGCCGGCCACGGCCTGCTCGGTCGCCGCCGCCGCCGCGGTCGCCGCCACCGTCCCCGTCGTCATGGTCCTGGTCGTCGCCGTCGCCGCCGCCATCGCCGTCGTCGTCGTCGTCGCCGTCATCGTCGTCGTCTTCGTCCTCGTCGTCGTCCTCGTCGTCATCCTCTTCGTCGTCCGCGTGGGCCGCAGAGGTCCAGCAACTCTCGCCAAGAGGGAAAGGGGTTTTGCAGGAAAGTGGTCCCCAAGTTTTGACGATCTGGGCCTCCCAGGACCCTCCTGGAGGTTTAAAATCCGGAAGTCCTCGAGCCTCGACGTTCGAACCTCCTCCCTCGCCCTCGTCGATGCGTCCGTCGTCACCGCCACCGCCGCCGCTGCCGCTGTCGTCGGCGTCGGCGTCGTCGTCGTGTCGTCGCTGGTGTCGTCGGTGTCGCTGCCGTCGCCGTCGTCGAGAGGGGAGGGGGGAGGAGGCGGAGCAGCGGGAGGCCGAAGACGGTTCAGCCGAGCCGTACCGTCCAAGACGGCCCCGAGACTTCTGACGGGCCCCAGCGGGCCACAGGGGGCCCTGAAGGAGGCAACCGCCAGGCCTCCAAGGTAGAGAAAGAACAGGGAGAACGAGGCTGCGGACACCTGGGAGCCCACATTGGACGTCCGCGCCAAGCCACGCATATGCGTGTGTTCCCAGTCTGCGGGGCAGCCATCAGGTTACGAACGCTCGCGCAATGTGCTCTCCCAGAACCCTTCGTTTCGCCCCTGGGACGAAGAGATGGTGTTCAAAATTGGGAGGGTCTCGAGATACACAACACGTCGTTTGGTCGGCTAAGAAGATCATCCACATACCGAATTCCTTCGCCGAGTTCACTGGCTCCTTGGCAGGCCAAACGACGCGATCTATAGATCTAGTCCCTCCGAAAGGTGCGCGCCAGATCAGGTAAGGCGCCGAGGCGGGATGTCTCTGAAGTTCAGTCTCCCTCCCCCCGCGCTTCGGCGCTGGTGCGGTGGAGGGGCAACCACCGCAGGCAGCCCAACAGGGGGGCTCTCAGACGCGAGGCGGGCAGGTGTGCATGCGTTGCTGCACGTGTGCAGGTGCGCACGAGTGCATCATTGCGTGAGTGTGTTGCGAACTGCAGCCACCGAGGCTCGAATCTGGAAGTCGCAAGAAACGTCTTAGACCCAGGCGGAAAAATTGTGTGATCACAGCTTGAGAGCTCTTGGGCATCATCGTGCCACCTGCAGTCTTCGAAATGTCTATGGGGTTCGATGATGACGCGGGTGCGCAGAGCGTCGAGGAGGCTGCCTGTGAGTGCGCTGCGGCCTTGTGCCTCTTTGTGCCGAGAAAGAACCAGCATGAACAACCTCCCCCTCCTCCTCCTTCTCCTCCGCCTCCTCCTCCTCGTCTTCCTCCTTCTCCTATTATTCCTCCATGTCCTTTTCGCCTCCTCATCCTCCTACACCCCCAGATCTATGCGCCGAGGTCCGCAAGGACCCCCTCCCCTAGCACCTGGGGCGGCGCCAGAAGCGCTTGCCAAAGGAGCTCAGCGCTGGCCGTGAAATCCACGCAGACGTGAATACGTTGGCGTCGTGTCTTCTCTCTTCGAACGCTGCCTGTCTGGCGATAGGAGCATCCCTGTGTCTATTGGCGCGGGCCTCTGCGACCAAGTCTGCCGGGTGATGCGATGGTGACTCGAGGCACGGGGTGAGTCGGGCCAGTCGATCTTGTCCTCCTCATCATAATCCTGTTCCTCCTCCTAGATCCATGATCCCCCCTCTCCTCCACCTCCTCCTCCTCCTCCTCCTCCTCCTCCTCCTCCTCCTCCCCCTCCTCCTCCTCCTCCTCCCCCTCCTCCTCCTCCTCCTCCCCCTCCCCCTCCTCCTCCTCCTCCTCCTCCTCCTCCGCCTCCTCCCTCCCTCCTCAGTCCGTAATCCGAATCCCCCCACCCTCATTCCTGCTCATCCTCCTCCTGCTCCCTCTTCTCCTCATCCTGCTCCTCTTCCTCCTGCGCCTCCTGCTCCCCCTGCTCCTCATTATCCTCCTCTTTTCTGCGTTGGCCAGACTCTGAGCGACTGCTCGTAGCATCAACCTCCTCCTCCCCTCCTCATCCCCATCTTATTCCTCTCTGGCTCACCCCTCCTCCTCTGAAGTCCTACTCACTTCCCCCGTCTCCCCACCCCCCCGCTGCTCCTCCTCCAGCCTTCTCCTCCTCGCTACCATATCATCATCATCCTCCTTGTACTCCTCCACCTCCTCCTCGTCCTCTCCTCCTCTCTCCTCCTCCTCCTCCTCCTCCTTCTCCTCCTCTCCTTCTCCTCCTCCTCCTCCTCCTCCTCCTCCTCCTCCTCCTCCTCCTCCTCCTCCTCCTCCCCTCCTCCTCCTCCTCCTCCTCCTCCTCCTCCTCTCACTCGTCCTTCTCCCCTTCCACATCCTCGTCTTCCTCCTCGTCCTCCTCCTCCTCCTCATCCTCCTCCTCCTCGTCTCCCTCCATCCCTTTTCCTTAAACAGAACCCCTCCCTGTCACACCCCCAGACATGTCTGTAGGACGGACCGGGCGTTTCGCCTGAGACGTGGGGCTTGGGCCGTCTTGGGCCGAAAATTGCCGAAATGTAAGATTAGACCTGCTCGCCCAGACCTCGCCCATCCCCTGGAAACCCTCCCTAGAAGGCTTCGCCCCCAAAAACGTCATCACTCGTAACTCGTGTTTTCCGTTACTTGGGCCGGCACGGAAACGGAAAGAGCGCTCCAGAACTTGCCCGAGACGGTTCATCAAACCCTTCGCTCTTGAGAGCCTCGGTGTGAAGAGCTTGTTACCCCACCGCTCTCTGTTGGGAGCACTGGTTTTCAAAGACTTTTACGTTGCCGCTCGCTCTTGACAGCCTTACTATTCAAAGTGTTTTACGTCACCGAGCTCTGGGAAACTGTGGTGTTCAGAGCTTGTTACGTCGCCGTTCGCTGGGAGCCGTGGTGTTACTTGGCGGCTCTGGGGCGTTTTGTAGGTTTTTTTTGAGGACTTTGGAGGCCCTTGTAGGCCCTCTTTGGGCCCTTTTGGGCCGTCTTGGGGCGTCTTGGAGGCTTTTGGCTGTCTCGGGGCTCTCTCGGGGGCTTCTTGGGGCCCTCCTGGGAGCCTCTTTGGGCCCTCTTGAGGTTCTCTTGTGGACGTCTTGGGGCCCTCTTGGGCCGGTTTGGGGTCCTATGGGCCCGTCTGCGGGCCCTCTTGGACAACTGTCGGACAATGTTGGGGGCCTCGTGGGCCGTCGGGGGACAATGTGGAGCCGCTCGGGCTGGTTTGGGCCGTTCTCGGCCTGAACTGGCGAGGGCAACACAAACTATCAAAAACCAACGACACATCAACGATTGTTGCCTCTGTGGGCCTCTTGGGAAGCCTCTTGAAAGCCTCTCGGGGTGTCTCGGAGCCGTCGTGAGCCGTCTTGGACGCTTTCGGCCGTCTTGGAGCTTTCCTTGGAGCCGCTTGGGGTCATCTTGGGAGCCTCTCTGGGCCCTCTCGGGGCTCTCTCGGGGCCCTCTCATTGTCCTCTTGGGCCGTTTCGGGGCTCTCTGGGGCCGCGCTGGGGCCCGTGAGCCGCCTCATTTGGAGAAATACGAGGGGGCGGATCATGGTGGCCGCCCAGGAGGCGCTTCACTCGAAAACATACGAGGAACATGGCCACTTGACATTTCCCCCTCCGCTTCGCACCACCAAAACGTCATCGCTCGTACCTCTACCTTTCCGTCGGGGTCCTGTTAGGACCCAATCGAAACGGCCCAAAAGAGACCCGCCAAGGCGCTCCCAGAGGGCCCCGAGAGGGCCCCCCGCCCCCCCAGAAAGCTCGGAGGCGCCCCCCCGACGGAAGGCCTCGGCGAGCCGTTTTCGGGCCTCCGGACCGGGGTCCGGACGTGGGGCCGAGGTCTGGACCTGAGGTCTGGACCTGGGGCCCGGACATGAGGTCCCGACCTGCATGAGGTGAAGACCTGAAGTCCGGACCTGAGGTCCGGACCTGGACTTCTGACACCCATGCCCCTCCAGAAAGCGGAACCTGGACCCCACGCGGCTCGATCGATGCTCGGCGACCTGGCCTCTGGGCCCCCAAGACCCCTCGGCCCCAGGACCCCATCGGCCCGCGCGGCCCGACGACGACGGCGGCGGCCGGGCGGTATGGGCCATGCGGCGGCGGCCGACGCCGACGACAACGGCGGCGGCGAGGCAGCGAAGCACCTTGGCGCATGACGCCGTCGGGGAAGGCGCCGTCGGCGATCACGCAGTCGGGACGCTGTCGTCGTCGCCGTCATCGCTCCTCCTCCTCCCCCTGCTCGATCCGCGGCCGCAACACGCAACACCTGTAACGTACTGCGCGCCAACCTTTCGATCACCCGAACCGGACCGACCCAAACCGAACCGTCCCGAAGCAAAACCGAACCGGCTCAAACCGAACTGGCGCCGAACCTGAACTGCTACAACCGAACCGGCCCGCTGCTGAACCGACCCGAACCGGCCCGAACCGGCCGCATGCTGCTTATAGCCTTACAGCCCTATAGCCCCATATAGCCCAATAGCCCCATAGCCCTATAGCCCCATATAGCCCCATATAGCCCCATATAGCCCTACAACCCTATAGCCCTATGGCCCCATAGCCCTATGGCCCTATAGCCCTATAGCCCCATAGCCCTAAGGCCCTATAGCCTTGAAGCCCTATAGCCCTATAGCGCTATAGCCTCATAGCCCTAAGCCCTATTGCCCTATAGTCCTATAGCCCCAGACCGCCCCAAAGCCCTATTTCCCTACAGCCCTATAGTCCTATGGCCATATTCCCCTTTAGCCATTTAGCCTTATAGACCTATAGCCCTATGGCCTTGTATTCCTATAGCCTCATAGCCCTGTAGCCATAGCCCCATCGCCCTATAGCCCAAAAGTTCCATAGCCCTGCAGCCCTAAAAAGATTGTAGTTGGTTTTCTCTGTGTACACCACCACCGTGCAAAGCCAGGGCCATCCTTGCCCTGGCATGGTGTATACGCCCTCCTGGCCGAGGCCAAGAGGGTCTATACACCATCCTAGGGCCCAGAATGGCCCTGGCCTGACGCGGTGGTGGTGTATAGATGCCTTCTTCGGATTTTACGTTGCCGCTCGCTCTTGACAGCCTTGGTATTCAGAGCTTTTTACGTCACCGCTGCGAGGCCAATTTGTATACACCACCACCGTCCGCAAAAGTAATTTACGCAAAAAGGGTTAGGGGCAGGGTCATGCCAGACGACGCTGCGACGCCACGGCGAAAATGAGCGCGGCGCAGCTCGCAGGCGCCGTGGCATGGAGAGTTCCTGAAGCAGAAAAAGCACTTCTTGGTGGTGGTGTATAAAAATCGCTCCCCATGGTAACCAAAATTATATACACCACCACCGCGCGTGCTTTGATGAATTCTGTTTCGGCCCTTAAAGAGAGGGGGCAGCCCGGTTGTCGTTGGCGGCGTGAGGGGGACTGCGGGCTTTTCACCAGAGCAAAACTGCACCAAATCGCATCGTAGATTATTCTCGATCTTGGTGGTGGTAGTCATATACTGTGCTCGAAACCGCGCTCTAGGAAGCCGTGGTGTTAAGAGCTTAGTACGTCACCGCTCGCCGGGAGCCGTGGTGTTACTTGGCGTATCTGGGGTTTCTTGGGGATCTTTTCGGAGCCGAGCCATTTGGGACCCTCCTGGGCCGACCTGGGGCCAGCTAAGTCGCCACACCAAAACGGCCCAGTCCCTATAACCCTTTTGAGCCGTCTTGGACGGCTGTGGCCGTCGTGGAGCTTTCCTTGGGGCCTTTTGGGGCCCCGTTGGGAGCCTCGTGAGGCCCACTTGGGGCTATCTTGGGGTCCTCGCGGGGTCCTTGTGGGCCGTGTGGAGTCCTCTTGGGCCGTCTCGGGGCCAGCCCATTCCCCACATCCAAGCAGCCCAAACCCTACCCGTCCCCCCCCCTCTCTTCAAAACCGACCCTGGGCATTCGGGCGCACAGATTCGGCCAAAAAAGTCGAACCCCAAGGGCCACTAGCAGGCTGGACGCCAACCTGGAGTCTGGGGGGAAGGGTGCGGCGAACACGCGGTCGAAAAAGAAGGCGCTCTACTTCTTGTCCCCCGAGTGTCCTTCCCCCCCCCGCTCCGCCACCAGCGGACGGCCAACCGCCGCCCGCCCCCCCCCCCCCGGCCGCGCGGCGGCGGGCGGGGCCTGCAGGGAGACGCGGCCCAGCGGCGGGGACCCGGAGCCCCCTGGTCGGGTGAGCAGCGCCGCTCGTGCGAGGCGGGTGCTCGTCGTCTCCTCCCGCCTCCGCCGCCCCCGCCGCCACCGCCGTCGTCGTCGTCGTCGTCGTTGTCGTCGTCGTCGTTGCCGCGGTCGTGTCTGCCTGGCGCTGCAACGTTTCACGGCAGCGCCATTTGCAGAGAATCGTGCCACGCCTTCGCCGCTGCACCTCTGACGTGCACGGCTCTCGCTCTCTCTCTCTCTCTCTTTCTCTTTCTTGCTCGTTCTCTCTTTCTCTCTCACATGTGATATCGCTCTCTTTCTCTCTCTCTCTCTCTCTCTCTCTCTCTCTCTCTCTCTATCTATCCCTCTCTCTCTCTCGACCGCATGGAGGATCGATATTCGGAAACTCCGCAGGTGGATATGGATACAGCCCAACCCAGGCCAGAAAAACATCCCTCAAAAGCATGAGACCCTCCCTCAGCCAAAACAAACAGCACAAGAGTACCCTCCCGAGGATGCAGAGGAGCGTCCAACAAACACGATTAACGCGAGGGTACCCTCCCCGAACCGACCTCTCGATCTTATACGTCGGTCCAACTGTACCGAGGGCCCGAGAAGAACCAGGTCATAGGGGGAACACCATCCTGAATCGACGATACATCGCCAATGGCTCGGCGATGGGCCCCCGATTGCGACATCGTACGCTCCTTGGCGGGATGGACTGTCGCGCACCTATCGGCCATGAGTGGCCGTTTGGGGATCGATGCTGCCCCCTCTGAGCCAATGACCCCTACCGTTTCCCTTGCTCCCTCCTCCTCCATCCTCCCTCCTCGCTCCTCCCCGCTCCTCCTCCTCCTCCTCCTCCTCCTCCTCCCTCCTCCTCCTCCTCCTCCTCCTCCTCCTCCTCCTCCTCCTCCTCCTCCTCCTCCTCCTCCTCCTCCTCCTCCCCTCCTCCTCCTCCTCCTCCCTCCTCCTCCTCCTCCTCCTCCTCCTCCTCCTCCTCCTCCTCCTCCTCTCCTCCCTCCTCCTCCTCCTCCTCCTCCTCCTCCTCCTCCTCCTCCTCCTCCTCCTCCTCCTCCTCCTCCTCCTCCTCCTCCTCCTCCTCCTCCTCCTCCTCCCCTCCTCCTCCTCCTCCTCCTCCTCCTCCTCCTCCTCCTCCTCCGCCTCCCTCCTCCTCCTCCCCTCCTCCTCCTCCTCCTCCTCCTCCTCTCCTCCTCCACCTCCGCCTCCGCCTCCTCCCCCTCCTTCATCCTCCCCCTCCTCCTACTGTTACTCCTCCTCCTCCTCCTCCTCCTACTCCCCCTCCTCCTCCTCCTCCGCCTCCTGCAGATTCTAAACCTCAGAATCGTTCAAAATACAAGTACGTCCTAGTACTTCTCCCTCTCGCAATTCTCCTGACCGATCTTCCCCTGGAGCCTGCTCGTTTATCTATTGCGCGGCCCCGCGCGCAACCTCGCAAGCTCGAACCAGATTGGTCTATGGACGGGCCGAGGCAACAACAGGCAAGAAACAGCACTGCGATTCACACGCACTAAAAATAATTGTTGCCTGTATTGCCTCGGCCTCTCGCACGTCTCGTGAGACTGCCTGCCGGGCTCAGGCGACCTCCTCAGCCGGAAGTGGTCGGGCGTGCGCGCCTCGCGTGCGCCTTCTGCTCACCGTCGGAGGAGTCCTGGCGCTCCGCCTCCAAGGCCGTCATCTCGACTCCGAAGCTGGTCTTCATCACCCGCAGCAGCGCATCGCGCTGATCGGGGTAGTTGGACATCCGCTCGATGACCGCCAACGCTGTGGTCGAGAGCGCCTCCTGGTACGCCGGATCCTCCTTCAATAAGTCTGGCATCTCGACCTTGATGAATCCGGCATCCTCCCTCGGCTCCTCCTTCTTGATTGAACTGCCCGCCTCTGTGCCCTTACCCTCGTCCTCATACGGGGGAAAGCGCATGACCTTAGTCAGATGCTCGCTCCTAGTCGGCATCTCCATCTTGCAGGACGGGTTTTGGACAGCAGCCTCGAAATAGCTCCTCTCCAACTCGCTCACCTGGCGGATCATCGAGTCCTCGATGGCAGCTCCGGTGAGCACCTGGACGTAGTTCGTGTTGTTGAGGTATATCAGGGTCACTCTCATGTGTCGACTCGCCTTCAGGCCCGTGTCTAGGACTCCAGCTGGCACCTTCACTGTCATCTTACGCTCGGCCGCTACGCAACCGACGCTGTTCGGGTAGCTGGTCTCTGCATCCGTGAGGCTCTGGAGGAAGCTTCGCACCGTGTGGGGTTCCCCGCGCGCTGTAAAGCCTACCATGTGAGCCACCACTGCACAGGCGACCGAGGGCGTGGGAGTCGGCAGTCGGTCGCTTGACGAGACCTCTCTGCGGAGTCGGCGACGCTCTCTCTCTCTGCTGCTGCTGCTCGTAGAGAACTTGACTCGTCCGCAAGCTGATACACTCCAGATCGGACGCATACTCTCAGTAGGTCGTGGGCCTCGGCCTTTTCCTTGGCGAGGGCGTCGGCTACCATCAAGGACGTGGGGCCCCACCTCAGAGTGCCTCCAAATCTCTGAAGGGCTTGTCGGGCAATCATGAGCTCCACAGCACATCGTCGTTCCTCAAGAGCCCCGGGGGAACCTATCTTATCGATATGGTCATAAGCCGATTTTGCATTCATAATCGCAACAGCCTCGAAAGGTTTCAAGAACTCACACCTCGTCTCCAGACTGTGGAAACATACACCCCGCAAAGAAACACATTACCCATTCCAGATGCCCCAGACCGTCGGCCAGTGCAGAGGCCTCTCCACCCAGAGACGATCGCATTGCCCGTTTGAGTCGGTAGCTCCGCCAGATCATAGGATTCCATGGTGATACCTCCCCCCGTTGCATACCCGGTGTCGTCACACTCAGCACAAATACCCCTTGGGTCTTCCTGAGACCATCGTTTTCACCCCTGGCAAAGTCGGCATGGATCATCATCCTGAGGTCCTCGAGTGGGATCGCAAAATACCGTATCGTAAGATCCTTATGTTGACGAGCACGGCGCACGAGCATGTTGGCATCTTTATCTCCTTCACCGTCGGATTCGGCAACAGCTGCTGGTTCTTGCTCACCTGGCAAGAAAGATCAGGCCTAGTTTGACCTGCCAGCCAACTGCCAGCCTGGTTCATCGAGATCAGCGCAGACTTCTCCTTGGGCAACGCCTTGCTTTCATTTTCGGCACATCGTTTCATCTTGACTGGTTTCATCGTTTCAGCATAGGCCTTTTGTGACTGTAGGATAGTTCCGTCCGAAAGTTGTTGTAACCAAGACCCTGTGAACTCACCAGACCCAATCCTCCATTTCCTCCAGGGAAACCGTCGTTTGAGTTTAGCCATGGCACTCTCCCCCCTGTCACCTCGTCCTCCTCCTACCGCGTCGCCCACATGTATCCCCATCAGCCCACGCAAGGCACCAGGAGGTCCTCGAGCAGATCCAATCGGCACACACTGAGGTGTCGAAGGTACTGGCTGTCCAGCCCGCACCGGCTCAAACATAATAAACAGACACGGATCAAGAGGATGGGCCACGAAGCCGATCTCCTCAGCATACCGCTGAAAAGTTGAGAACCACCGCTGCGGCTGGTCCACGCCGCCGTAGCCGTTCACAAGTTCGTACAGCTGGTCCGGGTGATGGCCCTTTGGTGTGTGCTCCCTGGGTGCTTTCACGAATATCGGCCCATTGGGCCTCTCCTCAGGATCAGCTTCCAGAAACGCTCCTCGGATGTCTCCCAGAACCAGTTAAAACCGAGCCGAAGCCACCAGCCGTAGGACAGTCGCCTTCCCTGTCGCTGAGAATGTCGGACTCTGGGTCTTGCCAGCTCGGACCATCTCCAGCACATCTGGATCCTTAAAACCTTGCACCGTCAGCCTGCATCGCAATTCCGTGCTCCCGTCATCCTCCGTTTTGAAGGTCAATACCGGGCGCGATGGCAAAATGCGGTCCGGGACCTCCAGGAGAAGACGACGAGACTCCTCCACCGAACGAGCTTTCCAGGCCTTCTGATCGACGATCAATTTCTGGAACTCCTTCTGATATGCCTCCTCCACCTGACGTCGTCCTTCCTCAGTCTGCCACCTTGAACCCTTCTCACGCTCCTCCTTCCTCCCTCTGGCAAGTAGCACGTCAGTGTCCGTTACTGCCAAGATCGGGGCCTCTTCGCCCCCGTCACACGTGACCGATCCACAGTCGAACAGAGGCTTTGGATCCGCCTCGGGGTTGGAAGACTGAAATGGATGAGGTGGTAGAGAGCTGGAGTCGGACAGTCCTGGAGGCTCTTCTAGGCGGGGCTGCTTGTGCGGCTGAGGGTCAGCCGGTTCCTCGGCGCCCCTAGTCAGCTCTTCCTTCTTTGGGCCCGTCTTCGATCCGAAAGGTACCCGTCGGGACCCCGTCGGGTGGTCAGGACTCCCCGTCGGCACAGCGCATGGATTAGAGGACCATCTGGAGTCGGGGTACGGGAACCTGGACGAGGGAGCTCCTGGAGTTGGTTCGGCCGATGACGTGTTTGGCGGCGGCGTCGGCGGCGGCGTCGGGTCGATCGATATCGAAGGTGCCGGAGTCGGGATCCCATCCCCTGGGCCTGGAACCGCCCAACTTGAGTCATCTACTTCTGCTTCTGGGGGACCTTCTGGAGGCTTGGGGCCCTTCGTGATGTCGTCAAAATATCTCCCAGACAAATTATCCAGGTCAACCGTCGTCGTCCGTAATTCAGCCTCCACCAACCTCCATGCCGTACGTTCCTCCCTCGTAGCCTCCCTCATCTGTTCCGGGGGCGCTTTCACCAGGCTTCCGGGAAGAGCAAGCCAGCAATTTCCCCTGACAGGCCCAACACAGATTCCTGGTCGCCACCTGTACGATGACGTCTTTCCGGCTATTGCACCCTTGACCTTGCGCCACACAGCTACCATATCTCCAGCCTGAAAAACACGATGCACCCGCGGACGGCAGTCGCCAATATCACCCGTCGGGCCACGGCGCGAATACTGGCAGCCCTCGCTGCCA